AGTCAACTGCGTCAATGGTAAATATAACTTAGAAAATCCTTCAATGAACTTCCGATAATAACCGACCAATCGAAGAAAACTTTTAATCTCAAAAACCGATTTCGGAGTCTCCAATTGCGATACTGCTTCAACCTTCGACGGATCAACCGCAATGCCTTTACTCGAAATCACATGGCCAAGGACACAACCACAAACTTGTCCAAATAAGGATGGAAAATTCTATTCATGTACTCCATAAACACACCTGGCGCATTAGTCACACCAAATGGCATCACAGAATACTCATAGTGTCCACACCTCGTTCTAAAAGCAGTCTTCGGAATATCCTCAGCCTTCACACGAATCTGATGATACCCAGATCTCAGATCTATCTTACTGAACACACTTGCACCAACCAACTGATCCATCAAGTCATCAATCCTCGGAAGGGGATACTTATTCTTTATAGTCACCTTATTCAACTGTCTGTAGTCCACACAGAGTCTCATAGAACCTTCTTTCTTCTTAACCAACAACGCTGGTGCACCCCACGACGACACACTCGGACAAATAAACCTCTTATCAAGCAGATCTTCAATTTGTCTCTTCAACTCTTTCAATTCCAATGTGGACATACGATATGTAGTCATCGATATCGGACTAGTTCCAGGAACCAAATCGATCGTAAACTCCACTTCTCGTTCCGGTGGTAAATCTCTTATCTCATCAGGAAAAACTTCCGGAAAATCCCGAACAATTGGTAAAGCATCAATTGCTTCACTCTCACCAATACTCAAAGTTTCTAGCAACATAAATACCCTTGCACCATCTTGCACCGACTCCTTCACTTGCTTAGCCATTATAAACAAATCTTGTTCCTCGTCAGATTCAGGAAAAATAACTGTTTTGTCAAAACAGTTAATATAAACACGGTTGAATCTCAACCAATTCATCCCAAGAATGACATCAATTCGGTCTAAGTGAAGACACACTAAGTCCACTCCAAAGTCTTTACCAAAAATACTCAACGGACAATTCAAACGCACATACTGGGTAGTTACCGAACCCATGGCAGGAGTGTCAATAACCATACCGCCACCCATAACAGACAACTTAAGACTTAACCTCTTAACACAATCCAAAAAAAATAAAAGAATGCGTAGCTCCGGTATCAATTATAGCGATCAAAAGTATACCATTAATGAAACACGTACCTCGGATCAATCGATCATCACTAGCAATCTCCGATCCAGATAGAGAGAACACTTTCCCGCTTCCTTGATTCTTCTTTGGTTTGTCACACTTGGTACTAATGTGCCCTTGCTCACCACAATTGTAGCAAGTCGCATTTGCACCGCTTCTACACTCTAGAGCTTTGTGGCCTGGCTTGCCACACTTAAAACACTTCAACCCAACACCTTTGCATTCAGGAGCACGATGTCCCGCTTTACCAAAATTATAACATCTCACTGGAGTAGAGGATCCTCCCCCACTCGGCTTCTTACCATAATCAGCTCTTTGTTTTCCTTTATCCGCAGGAGTCACATATGACTTTCCTCTAACTTGACTTTGTCCTTTCATATCACTCAAACTCCTGTAATGGCTAGACCGAGCCCTACTATCCTCATCATAAATCCTACTCTTGTTTACCAACTCAGAAAATCTCCTGATTTTCTGATAACCAACAACTTGTTTGATCTCAGGCCTCAAACCATTTACAAATTTGACACACTTAGATCTCTCAGCATTAACAATGTTATAGTGAGGACAAAACTTAATCAATTATTCAAATCTTGCCGCATACTCGGCTACCGTGGAGTTACCCTGCTTCAGCTCAATGAACTCGATTTCTTTCTTCCCACGCACATCTTCAGAAAAATACTTCTCCAGAAATGTCTCTTTAAAAAGATCCCACGTAATCACCATCTCGTTCTCTTCAAACCTTTGGCGAGTATTACCCCACCAATCCTCAGCTTCTTCTTCGAGCATATGAGTGCCAAACTGCACCTTCTGTGCATCTGAACAATTCATAACTCGAAAGATCTTTTCTATAGCTTTCAACCAAACCTGTGCCGTGTCGGGCTCATGGGTTCCCTTGAACACTGACGGATTATTCCTTTGAAACCTTCCCAAAGCACGAAATTCATCATCGGCATGATTCCTAACAGTCAAATTGGCTTGAGGGTTCTGCCCAATCTCTCCAGCCAACCTTGTCAAAGCCTCCGCAATCGCCTCGTCATTCCTACCGGCCACCATTGTTCTGTATCTCAACAACAGAACTCACAAGGTCAAACAATATCGATAGTGTCACACACAATCAAATATACAGAGGGAATAAACAAGTTAACAACTTGGCCAACTGGCCGACCTGCTCTGATACCAATTAATGTAACACCCCCTTCTAATACCCCCAAATAATGCAATAAAACACTTAATCACATATATAAAATTTCATTAGAGTATATTTTAAAATACGGTATAAAAGAGGTATGTCACATTATCACAAAACAATCACATAACACATGCTCCATAAAGACATGTAACAGTGGGGTAGTTTTCAAATAGAGGAACTTAGTCCTTACACCCACATCTCAATATTTTAATTTAAGCGGAAGACTAGAACATTGAATTACTTAAGACATGTTATCATAGAAATACACATCATCAAGTTTGGTTCACAATACCAATCATGTTTTACAAAACATCATAAGATGATAAATATACAATGTATCACAAAAGAATGCTATACAAGCCTAGCTACCCGATGTTACATATCAGAGCAACAGACTCAAAAGAATGAAGCTATACTTCACCAAAAGAAACCTCCAGCAACTTAATCTGCAATGCCTCATAGAGCATTATAAAACAGCAGAAGGGTGAGAAATACTATCATAATAATCAATGCATATAATTATATATACATACACAACATATAATATACATACTCCACATTTTTTTCTCACCACAATTCAATATAGCTCATTAGGAATCACAACATGTATACACGCACATGTACATTCACAAACCATGATTCATTTGCACTTATACATAGTCCACAATTTCCACACCCAAGCATATTTCATGTAACAATGACATTCATGCTATGTGACTCAATACAACTCAATGCAAACTCATGCCATATGGTACCAACACTTGTTATCTTTTTTCGGTTTTTATATTAAACCGGGTCCACTCTTCTAGACCGATAACCAACAAAAGCCCGTCCTCTAAGCTTTCAAACCCACTCTTCTAGGCTTGGGACAAGTCACTAGTCTCCACAAAACTAGCAAGCATTGCCTCTTGACTAAATGATGCATATGCAATCAACAATCAAATGCACTTAAGAGCGACATCTTAATCTCATGCATTCAAATAATTCATTTGTTCAAGAATTATAACAATGATTGCACACACAACATATTCACATACATCATCAATATATTATCAAGCAATGCACACATATCTACAATATGTTCTCATGCATTCTTCATACAATCACATACAAACAATATGCATTCACAAAATCAATATCATCATTCCATTAATCAAACAATGCACACATATCCACAATATGTTCTCATGCATCCTTCATACATATTAATCAACTTAAACAATGTATTACATTTGTCAAAAGACCACAATTCAATTGAATTCAGCAATCTAGGATTCACGCCATAAGGCTACCCACGGTATAATATATCTCATCATAATCGATGCCTCCAAGTAAAGGGATAATCATAATCGAATCGGGAATCCGACCTCAGATGGAAACACTAAAAAAAACATAATTTGTCATGCTCGCTACCCTGCTCGCTCAGCGAGTGCCTAGCGAGTATTCGCTACCTGTTCGCCCAGCGAACAAGCTCGCGAAGGCAAACAGAAGCTACTGACTTCGTTCGCTACCTCGCTCGTTCAGCGAATGCCTAGCGAACCTTCTCTACTCCATTCGCTACCAGCGAATGCCACCAAATGCATTATGTCCAAGTCTGGGACTGTTCGCTACTAGCTCGCTTAGCGAACGTTCGCTACCAGCTCGCTCAGCGAATACGCTAGCGAATGTCTGCGAACTTCAAACCCTCACTGTCCAACTTTCTCCAAACTCTCCAAAATCGACCGATTCTCACCGAACAAGTTTTCGTACCTTAGTCTAATATCCCCCGACTATATTATACCACTTATCCTCATTTTGAACCGTAAAAACTCGGTTTCTACCGATTAATCCACTTGTGCCCTAAAATGGAAATTGTAGAAAAACATCCAACAACCCAACCCAAGCATACATAATCACATACATTGTTAAGATAATGATATTTCACACCCTTACCTTGGTTAGATCGATGCTTGAGATTTGTTCTTGATGATTCCAAGTTCTTCCCTCTTCTTTTTCTCTTTTCTCCTCTTTCTCCTTCTTTCTCTATTCTTTCTTTTATGTTTATATCTTTTCCTTTTCTTTCCACTTTCCTTTTATATGTCTTTCTCTTCTAATTCTTTCCAACATCTATTCATTCAATTAATTACCCACTAATTAAGTAACCCTCGTTAATCATTTAATTAATGTAAATAATCGATTAATGAAAAATTAGGCTGTTACATTTTTGGCTTACATTCTTGTTTTCTTAATGTCCTTGATGCCGTCGCCTAGTTGGATAGTTATGCTTAGTGATATTTCTATTCCTTCTGTTGTTTATTTTTTGGTGAATGTGTTTTATCTCTCTGAATCTCCTCAGTGGCTTGTAAGCAAAGGTCGAATCCTTAAGGCTGAAAAAGTTTTGAAAAAACTTCGCCGCGTTGATGATGTCTCTGGTTACACTTAATTAACCTTTTCTTGTTATTGTTAGCTTTATGTTTTCTGCAACACAACTGATTAAGAATCTACTGTCTTTGATTTATAGGGCAGATGACTTTGCTCGCGGAGGGTCTTAGAGTCTAGCCCATTCGGTACAAGTGACAACCTGCGTGCTCCATTGAATCCATTTCACGGCGGTGCTGATAGGGCTTATGGATCTAAAGACACGTTAGGTATGAGAAGCCATAGCAGTTTGGTTCATAGAAATGATGTTGAAACACCGAGAAATACAGACATCGATGGAGGTTGGCAATTGGTTTACAAATCAACTGATGATGCAATGGGTGGAAAAAGAGAAGGATTGCAAAGGGTTTATTTGCATGCAGATCCTTCTGCGGCTGTAGTGTCTCAGGCTCCGCATATTTCTTTTGTTTCAACTTCTGGGTATGAAATTCCTATAGATGGTGGCGAAGCTTTTCAGGCTGCTGGTATAGTCAGCCGACCAGTTCTTGGAACTAGTTATGCGTTGAGTATGACAGAAGTCGCTGCAATAGGACTTCAAATTCTTCAACAGGTACAATTAGTTTGTATTGTGTTTTAGTATTACATTACATCACTCAAGTATACTGTATCATTCTAAAATTGATATTCCATTAAAAAATTTGATTATAAACGAACTTATTTCTATCCGATTCTGAAAATCAATAATACACATTGCAGGCTGCTGGCATAAATGGATTTATTTTCTATGCTCCTCATATTCTTGAGCAGGAAGGAGTAGGAGTTCTTCTATCAAATTTAGGCATCAGTTCAATATCTGCTTCTTTCCTTGTAAATATCATTATATCATTTTGTATGCTTCCTTGTATAGCAATTTATGTAAGGCTCATGGATGTTGCGGGCAGAAGGTATGTTCAAAACCGTGACTCAGTAGTAATAGGCATAAAATCCAATACTCATGACAAATAACATTGTTTATTTTCTCATGACAGGTCAATCATGTTGTACACAATATCAATTTTGATAGTATGTTTCATAGTATTAGTATTGAGACAATTTTTTCAACTCAGCCCTGTCCTAAATGCATCAATTTCAGCTATCAGTGTTGTGGTCTATGAAAGTGTCTTCTGCATGGGCCTTGGTATTATTCCCAGCATCATATGTTCAGAAATCTTCCCGACTAGTGTTCGTGGAATCTGCATTTCCCTTACTTCTCTTACATATTGGGCTTGCATATTGGTTGTCACATTGACATTCCCTTATTTGCTCCAACTTCTCAGTCTCAGCGGCGTCTTCTCTCTATTTATTGGTGGCTGCATCATTTCATGGATATTTGTTTACTTAAAAGTTCCTGAAACAAAGGGTATGCCTTTGGAAGTTATTATTGAGTTTTTTGCTCTTGGTTCAAAGCCTGGTACTGATCCTGCAGAATTTGGAATGAAAGATTAATTAATGTCTAAATGATATGAATATGATGATGGTCATCATCATAAAAAGAAGTAGCATTAACCAATGATAAACTTTGAATATGCTGAAAGCAAAATTGAGAGGATTTTGGTTGAAAACTCATGTAATTTTTCAGGTTTTAATAGAAGTTTATGTATTCTAGTAACTTATTATTTTTATATGCTCAAATTAAAAAAGTTCAATTGACAGTTTCTTCATAAATGATTTAAGGAAGAATGGATGGCTGAGCTTCTTCTAATTCTTGGCTTTTAACTTCCAAACTCCTTCTGCAATGGTTTATTCTAATTATCAGTTGTGTTGTTTTGACAGGTTGGAGCGTGAGCCTCGAAAGGATAGCCATGAAGCTTTGTCAAGTTTTCCTTGAAGTCCTCAAATGTAGGTGATTACCGCGAGATATACCAAGCACCATAGCAACATGTATTTTGCTCGGCGGAGTCCTTGGGACTGTTTCAATGCGAAAAGCCTATTCAAACAAATGGTCGCTTGTGTTTCTATGGCTTTCGTAGGATTTACGTAATTGCTTGTTCCTCATGTAACAACTTAGCTTTATAAATTTTCATAATTGAGTCCCGTTTCCAAGCTGTAAATTTTGGATACAACTTGCAATTTGTAAAAACTGTGAATTTGGTTAATAAACCAAATTTAGCAATACTGGCTTTACATTGTTATGAACTTCTAACCTTCCAATCTTTAAAATATTTTGATTGTTAACTGATTCTTTAATATATATATATATATATATATATATATATATATATATATATATATATATATATATATATATATATATATATATATATATATATATATATATATATATATATATATATATATATATATATATATATATATATATATATATATATATATATATATATACACACACACACACACACACACACACACACACACACACACACACTAAAAAAGTGTTATTACAAAAAAAATTGACTTGTTAGGTCAGTTAAATATATTTGAAAGCCAAGACTTATTAAGTCGGGCGCTGTTTAATTGACTTAATAACATTTTCTTAAGTCAGGTCTAAATCCGACTTAAGAAGTCGAAACTTCTTATGTCAGCAATTCTTAGGTCAGGTTCGGAACCGTCTTAAGAAGTCATTTTTAATCGACTTAACAAGCATTTTTTCCACTAGTGCCACGAGAGCATAAACAATCGCACAATCGTTTTTACAAGTTATTTCTTGTTGCACAACTAGTTATAAACAAGTTAACTTGTTGTAAATACTAAAATAAATAACGGTTAAGGAAATATAACATTGACATGTAATACACACGAATATAATATACGTATAGCACATAAGGCCAGATAGACCGACCAGCTTTAATGATATCAATTATGTAACATCCTAACCCCACATTAGAATTTTTTATTTATTTATAAAACATTGCAGAATATAATAGAAACGATGAGGGCTTCACATGACAAAGTACTCTACTTTTATTTTAAAATAGAAAACTAAATCCAAAACATAATAGCTCGGTTCAAGCCAAAATAAAGCAATTAATAAAAGATGAAGATGGTGAAGCTCTTGAAAATAATAAAGCCTTGAATGTTATATTCAATGGTGTGGACAAGAACATGTTCAGAATAATTAACACTTGTATTGTAGTTAAAGAAACTTGGGAGATTCTCAAGTCTGATAATGAAGGCACATCTAAATTTATGATGTCAAGGCTACAACTCCTTACAATGAAGTTTGAGAATCTGAGAATGTTGGAAGATGAATTCATATATGAGTTAAACATCTGATTGCGACATGACCAACAATTCTTTTGTTTTTGGGGGAAAAGATGTCAGAATAAAAAATGGTTAGAAAGATTCTCAAATCCTTAGCTTAGAAATTTGACATGAAGGTAACAACAATTGAAGAAGCCCAAGACTTAATAACTTTAAAGGTAGATGCGCTTATTGACTCTCTTCAAACCTTTGAAGTGTCCATAAATGCAAGATCATAAAAGAAGAATAAAAGTGTAGTTTTTGTATCCAACACTCAAGAGGACGAAGAACAAAGTGATAAGGATACTGAAGGAATCCTGTTAGATGCTATAGCTCTTGTTGGAAGAAATTTCAACAAAGCTTTGAAGAACCTAGACAAAAATGGAGGACAAATGTGCAAGACATCAGGTCTGACACTCGTTCGCAAATAAAGGGCTTAGAAGATGACAAAGACATGAGAGTTAGATGTTTTAAATGTGAAGACTTTGGTCATATCAAAGGTGAGCTCTCTACTTTTCTCAAGAAGAAGAAAAATGGATTATATGACACATGGGCTTATTCTTATTTTGATTTTGAAAATGAAACTACTAACTCTATTAAAGAATTTGAATCTAAGAGATAGCTGCTAGATACAACCTCTTGTACACCAAATAGGAGGAAGCTCACCTAACTGTGGAGAATAAGAAGGAAACCATAAGTGTGCTTCAGACAGAAAAAGATAAGCTTGTCTCAACCATCACTGGTCTGGAAGAAAAAGTAGCTTTTATAAATTCTAAAATTGATAATATGGAAAAATATGTATGTATGTTGAACAATGGTTGAAATATGCTAGATGAAATTTTGGAAGTTCGGAAAATTCCCAATAATCTGAAGGGAATAGAATTTGATTCCAACTTGAACAAGAAAGGCAAAATTCCCTCTAAGAAGGTTGTCCTACCTAATAAGAAGACTGAGTTCGTGGACCATATACCTCATTATCATTCTTAACATGTGTACCCTCCACATAGAGGTTACAAGAACTCTGCTAAGAGATGCCACCATTGTGGTAGATATGGTCATATAAGATTGTTATGCTATAGACTGTATGAGCATCCTTTGTTCTATAGTCAACCAAGACCTAAAATGAAGAAAGGGAAGAAATTTCAAGCAAAGAAGGAATGTAAACTAAAAGCAGCTGTCAATAGTTTCATATCTCACACATCTCTTAGAGTTTCCTCAAGAGAAGATTGATATTTTTACAGTGGTTTCTCCAAACACATGATTGGAGAAAAGACATACCTTAAGGAGTTAAAATCTTACTCCAACAGTTATGTCACTTTTTGTGATGGAGCTAAGGGAAGAAAAAAGGGAATAGGCAGAATAGTTAGCCATAGTCTTCCTTCTCTTAATTATTTTTTGTTGGTAGAAGGCTTAAATGCCAATTTGATCAGCATAAGTCAACTGTGTGATCAAGGGTTGAATGCAAACATCAACAAATTTGAATGTATTGTGATTAATATATTTTAATAACCACATTTAAATTTGTACTTATGAATATTTTATGACTTGTTATTTTAATATTTACTATTTTGAGTGTGTTTCCTAAGCTTAGCTTATTTTTGTTTTTATATTAATTCGGTTATTTATTTTTTGATTAATTAGTAGTTTGACATCTTGATGTGCAAGTCATATTTTGAGCTACGAGATGAAGGTGAGAAAATTAAACAAGAAGGAGGGGTTGAGTTGTGTTTTCCGTTTTATTAGTTTGTATCTAATCAGAGTTCAGAATCTAAGCTGGTGTTCAGATTCAGGTTAATTCTTAGTAGCAAAATGTTAAAAGAGGCAAATAAATAATATCAGAAGCCACAAAGATTTATACTAGTTCCTCCCAAAATGAGAGTAGTCCAGTCCCCTTGCTTCATAATATATTTTCACTATAATCAAAACATGATTGCAATCACTTATACAATCTGCATAAGAATTTTACAAATGCACAGACCCAAGGTCCAAGATTTATTCTCAAACTACACTCGAGACTTCTAGCTAAGGTTCCACAAACCCAAGAATTCCTTGCTTAGGCCCTCATCCCAAGACTTCTGCTCAAGTCCCTCGGATCCAAGATTTCTTCTCCAAGTCCCATGAAATGAGCCTCCTTGCTTGAACCCCTCAGGTTCAAGACTTAATGTTCCAATTCCATGTACTAAGCTCACCTGCTAAAGCCACGTTGGCTCAAGACTTCTCTAGGTCCCATGAAACGAGCCTCCTGGCTTGAACCCCTCAGGTTCAAGACTTATTGCTCCAATTTTATGTATCAAGCCAATCTGCTCAATCAATCTACTTAATTAAGACTTTCACAGCTCAAGCGCATATCAAGAGACTTATGTGGCTTAAGCATCTTGGCTCGAGACTTCCTTGTTTGTGTCCCAATGACACACAACTTCTGCTCAATCAATCTACTTGATTAAGACTTTCACAGCTCAAGCACATAACAAGAGACTTACATGGCTCAAGCATCTTGGCTCTAGATTTCCATCTAAATTGCTAAAAAATCTCAACTTAACAATAATCTTGTCAGAAAAAGGAAAATATGATGTTTCCCAAGATAGGGGATAATGATAATAAGTATTCAAAAAGAAAACATCATTACCCAAAGGTACTTATCCAGCAGATTTCTTGAATCCACCAGATGAATTTCACCTTTATGAAAATTTAAGTATTATAAAAGTTTTGGAAAATCTTTTACTTAAACTGCTTTATTAGAAGTAAAGAATCCTCTTCTAAATCTAACACTCAGACAACTTTTAGAATCTATCATCCATCATAGTCTAGTAGAACTAGACTAAGAGAGAGAGAGAGAGAGAGAGAGAGAGAGAGAGAGAGAGAGAGAGAGAGAGAGAGAGAGAGAGAGAGAGAGAGATCTTATGTAAGTCATTAGTCTCCAAGATTCTATTCAAAACCAACATTTCCTCTTGAAATAAGAGTCATGAGTGATAAATGAATATTGAATTGTTTCCTTTTACAGTTAACAAACAACAGTAACATCATAAAAGGTGAGGAAATTGTTTCCATAAATATGGTCATCATCTAGCTTAATGAAATATTCAGTATAGATAAATACAACATAGTTTCTTCTTAAAGATTTCTGAAGATCCTTTTTCAAAATAGCTTCTCTAGAAGTCTAACAAAAACTTTGTATTTACACCTACACAAATAAAACAGAGTTTCTTCTTAAAGATTTCTGAAGATCCTTTTTCAGAATAACTTCT